TTTGTAGTATAATTTGAAGTTGGGCAGAGTGATGCCTCCAGCGTCGTTCTTTTTTCTCAGGATGGCTTTGGCACTTCGGGGTCTTTTGTGCTTCTATACAAATCTGATGATTTTTTGTTCTATTTCTTTAAGAAATGCCAATGGGATTTTGTTGGAGATTGTATTAAATCTGTATAATGCTTAGATAATATGGTCATTTTTAACTATTTTGATTCTTCCAATCTAAGAACACTGAATATCTTTCCATTTCTTTGTATCTTCTTTGATTTCTTTTAATAAGGTCTTACAGTTTTCATTGTATAGATCCTTCACATGTTTTGTTAGATTTATTCTTAGGTATTTTATTCTTTTTGTTGCAGTGTATATGCTGAGTTTTGACAAGTACATACACTTGTATAATCCAAACCCCTATTGAGATATAGGACATTACCATCGCCATAGAAATTTTCGTCATTCACCCTCCTCAGGCAATTCCTCACCATAGTTCTGCATTTTTTTCACTGTAGATTAGTTCTGTCTGTTTGGTAACTTCATATAAATAGACCCACCCAGTATGTGCTCTGTGTCGTGCTCTTTTTGAGATTTATCCATGTCGTGTATTTTAATAATTCATTTTGTTGTAATGGTAAGAGAAAATACTTTTTGTTTCTTAAAAATGCTTTATAACAATCAGTTTTTTTACATAATATCGCTGCAAACTAAGCAGTTTTCAGCTGCGGCAGGGGGAGGCGAAGTGTTTTGCACAAATATTTAACTGGAGTAAGAACTCCTTGTTTGGTTTTTTTCAATTTGCTCCATTAGACAAGACATCTTCTTTCATAAGGTTATTTCATGCATATGAGTTAAGCTGTGGGATTCTATCTCAAGATATTAATTTGTTTAGGCAGTTTATTTTGTGATTTATAAATAAAATTTTGATTTCCTATGTAACTTTATAAAAATTATTTTCCCATAGTCGTGCTGGTATAGAGGATTCTAAGAAGTGGGGGATGCTGTTTCTGGTGAATCAGTTATTCAAGATTTACTTTAAGGTATGCTTCTGTTTCAATAGTTCATAATATAGCTTAATAAATTTTCTTTCTCCCTATGTTCCCAGATACCATTTCTATTAATTATCAGCTGGCCTCCCTGGTATTGCTTGGGAGATGGTCATTACCTAACCATCTTTATAATCCTAAAAGCTAACATTTGTTGAGCGCTTGCCAAGTACAAGGCAGTATTATAAATGCTTCACATGTATCGTCTTATTTAAATCTCAACCCTATGAGGTAAGTTCTGTTGGCTCCAAGGGGAACTAAGGCACCCACATACTAAGCAGCGTGCCTGATGTGGTAGAACTGGGCTTTAAGTGAGGGGCTTCACTCTAGAGCTGTATACCTGGAATTGTAATAGAACAGATGAACATGTAGGATGAGTGAAGAAATCATTTTTTGCTACATGAAGTCAGCCAGGTGAAGAGTAGCTCTGTCACATACCAGCATCTAGGACCTGGCCCCTCTGGGTGGGCCTTTCATTCACGGGGCACATCTGCCCTGGAAGCAACTCTCTCTGAAGCACTTTTTAGGGCCTTCTAAAGTGGATATAATCTGTGCTATGCAGTTTGTGTTTTCGTTTTTAGTATTAAATAATTTTAATGATGTATGGGTTTTGTAATTCTCTGTTTAAGGGGGCAGATGCTTAGTAAAGTAGTTTATTTGTCCTGCCTTTTTTTAAAAAAAAATATTTTAAGTAGATTGCTGTTTATTGTAGATCAACAAACTCCATTTGTGTAAACCCCTAATCAGAGCCATCGACAGCTCAAACCTGAAAGATGATTACAGCACTGCACAGAGAGTGACATACAGGTACTATGTTGGACGGAAGGCCATGTTCGATAGTGACTTTAAGCAAGGTATGTTGTTAATCTTTTTTCTAATATTTTAAAGACATAGCATTCGGAACAACATATGTGATATAGTTTTATAGAATACAATTACTGCATTTTATTATTCAAGTGGAATATAGGTATAAACCAAGTCTAAGTTATATTTTTTTGTTGTTTATTTTTGACACTAAAGTTGGTTAAATAAAAGGAAAGTTTTAGTTGAAGTTTCTTAATCCATTCTGGGTCTCTGAAATACATGTCAGAGTCTCAGTTCTCATGAACATCTTTTTTTGTGTGAAGTAATTAAGCACAAGTATTCTTGGTATTCAATATAAGTAATTGTTTCCTCCCTTTGTCTGTGCTGCTCATGTTGACATGGGACATGGAGATTGGGGCAGCAGTTAGCTCAGCTGCCTACTTGCGGCTTAGAAATCCCACGTGGGGTGCCTAAGCAAACAGTGGACTGTGTCCTTGGACTTTTGTTATCTTTGGAGTTTGTAGCCATGGATGATGACGTCATTCATTCCATCAGAGTGGTGCTTTCATGAAATTATATTATTATGTAGTTTATACCATTAACTTTATCAAGAATATGAAGCCATTTTTTTTCTTTTTAAACTTTTTGATTAGCTGGCATGAGGTGGTTCTTTATGACCTCTTTTATTATACTCAGACCAGACTTTTTAAACGCACTTCTTCGAGAGCCATTTGCACGTGGAACAGCATAACTTCAGGCAATACAAGATACATAAAATCACTTTTCTTTCCATGTATTATATCATGGATTCTCTGATAACAAAAATAACAGCTCTTTCATAATAATCACTTTTTTTTTTTCTGTAGCCTTATACAGACCAACTTTTTCTTTTTTACAAACATTTTCATAGATCCAAGGCTTTTGAAGAAGGACTTTTTTTGATTATTCCCCGTTGCTACTTTTTTCCCTTAAAATAAGAATAGAAGCTTTTAAATTATATTCTATTGAAGTCTATTAAGGTATTGATATGTTTTTCATCTGAAGATTCATTGAGTTGTAGTTTTGAATATCTTAACAGCAAAAAATTATAAGTATTAATGGTAGATATTTATAGTTTCTGAAAACTTCAGAGCCATTTGTATAAGGATAAATAGTAGAATAAGAAGCAGGGAGGGAACTTCAGTAACTTCATAATATGTAGAGTATATAAAGCCTGATCAGATGCTGTTGGTCTGACTTTGGATGGTGTCTCTGCAGCCGAGGAGTACCTATCCTTTGCCTTTGAGCACTGTCATCGTTTAAGTCAGAAGAACAAAAGGATGATTCTGATATATTTACTTCCAGTAAAAATGCTGTTGGTGAGTGATTGTTACACTATTCTTATAGATCCTATTGCTTTGAAGAAGTTGATAGACTTTTTAAAATACAGCAGATGGTATGTAGTTGATCACAATTTGAGTTGCATATGAGCACACCCCAAAGCAGAGGAAGAGTAGCTTGTGTGTAGCCTGAAACCTGTATCTTCATGTTGACACTTCCACATCCTTCTAGAAAGGCTTTGTCTGAGTTTCCTTTCTCTGTAAAGTACCTAACTCAAGAGTTTAATGTATGTAAGGCAAATAAAATAAGTACATATTATTTCTTTTCCCCCTAAAAATCAAAATTAATAGGAATGGACTAGCCAAGAAAGAAAAATATCATTTCAGCCTATCTACAGTATCTTATTTGATCACCAGAAGTTATTTTTGATACCTGAAAAACAATGAGAAATAACTAGCATGTTGATTGACTAAAAGTGTTAGTTAGAGCTTTCCTTCCTCCTATTTAAAATTTTCTAAAAAATTATCTTAATACACACATTTGGTTAAAACTTAAATAGTTCAGGATAGCTTGTAATGGACAAGCAACAATGTCGTACCTATCCTTCCCCTCTTCTCCCTGCTTCACAGAAACAACCAGTTTAAATTTTTTAGCTTATTCTTTTAGAAGATGTTTCTGTATTCCTATATCTTATACTAGTATTTCTTCCGTTATCACTCCCCTCCTGTGATATAAAGGTTAAGAGACATGAGAAGGTCAAAATCAGGGTCATGTGTAACTGAGTGACAAAACTGCATTATACTCAGGTTTTCTGATTTCTAGACCAGTGTTTGTTTTTTAACTAGTATACTTCGATATTTTTAATCCTTGTTCAGCTACTTAAGAAGAAATTCTAATAAACCAAGGTCGTAAGTCTTTAAAACTTAATTCCTTGAATTTTATCAAAAACAATTTTATCAAAAACAATTCTGTTAAAATTTTATCAAAAACAATTCTGTTAAAAATTCTTAACAGAATTTTATCAAAAACAATTCTGTTAAAAATTCTTAATCTGGGGAATTAACTCTTTGTCTTAGGGTCATATGCCAACCATTGAGCTTTTGAAAAAGTATCATCTCATGCAGTTTGCTGAAGTAACCAAAGCTGTAAGGTAGAGTATTTTATCCTTTTCCATTCGGGATCTTTTACAATATAAAGTTAAGAATCTTATATTTAATAAAACATAAATGTATATTTTAATAATATAAATACAATATAAATATAAGAATTGTACTCACTTTGTGGGAAAACTAATTGCTTTTTGATGTGATCTCGTCCTGGGATTTTCTTTTGTGACCATGCTTGCACATCTTTCTCCTATCACCTAGTGAAGGCAACCTCCTTCTATTGAATGAAGCTCTGACGAAACATGAGACCTTTTTTATTCGCTGTGGTATCTTCCTTATCCTTGAAAAGCTGAAGATCATCACCTACAGGAATCTTTTTAAGAAAGTGTAAGCAAAGTATTTTCTTTTTAATAAGTTTAAACTCAGTATGACACATACAGTAGAGTTGTCAGGTTATGAAAACTGTACAGTAATAGGTGCTGTGTCTTCTGAGATGGGGATGTCACTCTGTGCAGTCAAGGTCCCATCACTTGTCCTTTAATTACATGGAATAAAATAAAAAAACCTCCCTGGCCTGCCTACTGCCGCATGGGCGTTGGTGCCGCACAGGTGAGTGAGTAAAGGCTCATTCATGGGAGGAATAACAGGTTATGTGTGGTAAAAGAGCTTTGTAACAAATATTTTTAAATGCAGCCCTAAGAATCAAATATTTCACATTTTATCAGAGTGTGTGGGACTAATTGTTCTTTTTTTCATAATCAACTAAACTTCCCCCTGCCACTCTTATTTGTCAGAAAGTCGAATTCTGCACTTATTTTTTTTCATGCAACACTAGAAGTTGACTCTTCTCTAAGACCTAGTCCCAACAGGATTAAACTTTGAACAAAGGCAGACTTTTTATAGCTGCGGGTAGTATATCAAAAATAAAAAGGACTATATTTCATCAAACCCATAAAACACTATCCATTTTACAGTACATTCCAATTTCAGAGCTATTAAAATGTGAAAATATATGCATCTTAGATTCAATGAAATAGTAAATATAAAAAATTATATTTATACTTAGTGGTTTTTTTAAAATGAAAGTAAAAATTATATTTAATAGTTCTTATTTTTAGAGTGTATCTAATAGGTGGAAGACTTTTTCATTAATTTTGAACAGTGGTTGATTAGATGTGTTTTCTGCTGACTCAGTACCTTTTCTTAACCTTCAAAGTACTTGCATTCTGTTGGTAACTGGTGTAGACCTCTTGTTTTCCTCTTCCAGGTACTTGTTACTCAAAACACATCAGTTATCTCTGGATGCTTTTCTAGTTGCCTTGAAATTCATGCAAGTGGAAGATGTGGACATCGATGAAGTCCAGTGTATTCTGGCCAACCTGATATACATGGTGTGTGAGCTCTTTGGTTCAGTTGAAGCAGTTCCTTCCAGTAGGACTTAGTCTAGAATGTGAAGCTTTGATGTAATGGTGTTAAAGTTGTTATCTGGCCCTTTGTTTTTGTGAAGATATTTTCTGATAGAACTAATTTTATCCCAGGAAATACCGTGATATTCAGAGAGTTTTATAGGGCATGGGTGGGTAAATATAATATATATTTCTTTATTCTCCATCATATATGTGTTTGTTCATTGTCTTCCGAATGACTTGAATTGCACTGCGATTGGGAAGAATGCTTATGCCATGAGACTAATCAGTGATGTGACAGAGAAACACAAGCCAACCCTCTCTTTCTTTCCTACAGGGTCACATTAAAGGCTATATATCACATCAGCATCAGAAGCTAGTTGTTAGCAAGCAAAACCCATTCCCTCCGCTGTCTACAGTGTGTTGAATGTGAAAACAGTCCTGCGAAGGAGCATGCTCCTCTAGTTTTTTATCATGCTGATGAAATCAGTCCTGTGCCATGGCTTTATTCTCTGCAGCCAGAATCTCTCTGGGACTCTTTTCCTAAGGATGCTGAAACTGAATTTGCCAGCATACCTGGACATGTTAAAATCTCCATCGTCACTCATGACTAATGTCATCTTCACGGAGACCTGGAATTTGCTTTTTCAGACATTGCAGACTCCTCCTTTGGCTCTGGAGTGTTGGTGAAACTTCTGTGAAGGAGGCTCTGTCTCTAAGGCAGCTATAGTTTACTTCTCCAAAAGTATTGTTCATAATTGGTTCTTTGTAACTTTTGATATAATTCTTTCTATAAAAAAGACATCCTGAATTTATACAAATGGCATATTCTTTATTATATCTTTTGGGATATCAAATGTTGCTACGACTTTAAAATTCATTCTTGTTCCTCCACTGCCCTCACCATTAGTTTGCGTTAGATTAACATATTTATCTTTACCAAGTTCCTTTCAGAGAAATGGGTGGCCAGCACATCTGCAGATTGGCAAAAAAAAAAAAAAAGTTTAATTCTGAGGTTAAAGAATAGTATCAGAAATGAAAGATACTTAATGTGTTTAAGAACTGTTAAACTTAAAAATCTGGATTGTGTTTAAACTCCCTGTATTTTAGTCAAAAGAATGTTTAAATTGACTCACTGTTTTAATCCCTTAAAAAAATCTTCTCTTCAACAACTCTGTATAATGAGGCTCCGGCAGACCACCATCATCCTTGCATGTGCTTCTGGAGAAAGAACTGCCCTCTCTCCACCCCGTCTGCAGGTCTACAGAGCACTTAGCCTGTAGAGGCTTTTTTATTTCGCTCAAGGAAACGGAGAGATTGGAAATATATGCACTTAGTTAAGCAGTTTTGCTACTTCCTTAAATAAGAGTTAAGAGATTAACTTAAACATTTATATCCATTTGCTCTCACTTTTCATTTCGGCACAAACTCGTACCCCGCGTGGAGTTCTGGTCTTCAGGGAAGCACTGTTTGGGGCTGCCCTTGAGTTCTCTTTACTGCGTTGAAGTTGCAGTCTTCATGATGATAATAGATAATCACTGTGATTCAATACTGTTGCAGTGCTTAACTCAGCCCTGTTTGGTAGATGCTATTATTACCCCATTTAGAGCCCAGGAGAATGCCACGAAAGTGTGAAACAACTGAGAGTCAGCTGGTTCAGTAGCAGAGTTGAGAGGCTCAGTGCTGGCTCCGATCCAGTGACTCCCTGGAACCTGTGGGAGTTTTCCCTCCACGGGAAGAACCTCTCCAGGCACACAGCTCTGTTTAAAGGCCTCACATTTTCTGTCTTTCAACCTCTTGTGCTTCCTGATCCTTTACAACTGTCTCTATATGGTATTCCTCTCAGTATTATTTTCTTTTCCCATGCTGACTCTCTCCTAATTGCTGCTTCTAACACTGCGCAGTCCTTTCACTCACAATGGCAATCAGTGAACCTGGCACAACTATGAGGCCACTTTTGTCTATAACTAGCAGTTCTTAGAAGCTTCCATCCTAAAGACATACACTCATTGTATGTTGTTAGATTAAGCTACGTTTATTGACTCGATAGCATCAGAAAGCATTAGACTTGGATAAGTTGAGGGTTTTAAGAAACTGGGCTTTTATGACTGAGCGATGTGTTTTTATTATTTAATATATCTCCCATTCTGTTAAGGTCTCTGTTGAAATAAAAAGTCCCAAGGAAAGAACTGTCACAACACTAATGATCTCATAAGTGATAACCAACAGTTTATAGACCGAATGGGTTCTGAAACTGTCACAGCCATTTTGCTGTGAAATTTCAATTTATCTCCATGCTTGCAGTTAAAATTTGGAGTCCCACCACATATTTTATTCTTTCTGGTTAGCTGAGTTTAGTCACTTCATGATTTGTCTAAACCAGAGTGAATATCTTGAAACCTTGGTGAGAAGAAATGCATGTCCATACTGTTCTGTGGGTGCCGAGCATAGAATCCCCGTCAGGAACCAAGTGCCTTTGTGTTTTCTGGTAACTATACTGCCTTCCGCCCACTGCACCACTCCAGCTGCTGCTCCCCTCTCACAGTATGTCCTTGTCGTGACTGTCACATTAAAGTCTCTGCCACACTCCTTGCTGTCCATGTGTGTGACTGGCATCTGCATCGGCGTGTTGCCCAGCTCAGAGCCATTGAATGTCCAACCAACGAGGAGTCCCCCTGTCCCCGGCATGAGGATGCGCTCCATGAAGTCTCTCTCGGGCATGCAGATGGGGAGCCCCACATCCGGGCATTGAATGGGCAGCACCAGCTCCAATAGGGAAATGTCATTGTCCCCCGTCTCTTCCTCGTACCTCATGTGCACGTGGACGCTCTTTACCTCAATCATCAGTGGGTCCTTGCTTGTTCTGTGAAAATCTGAAATAATGGACAATAGCTGATTTTCAAGGTTGCAAAAATAATAATAGACTAATTAATTCCTCAGTGAGCCATGTGTCAAGGCAGAGGCGAGGCATGGTAAAACGTGCCATGGCTAATTGCACTGATCTCCTTTCATCTATGGATTGAAAGGGAACTCAGAGTGAAGTATTTCAACTAATTCTCATGGTCTTGCCTCATACTCTAAAAGAAATTAAAATGAGCTATTTTGGGGGTTTTGGTGAAATGGTCAAAAAAGTATGAAGAAATCAACACATTAATTAAAACTTGGGTGTTTGGAAGTAGTTCTTCAGGCTAACATTTTGTTGACTGAAAAATATTCAAGGTTGTGGAATAAAATATACTCAAAGTTCTTCAGAATCATCATAGAGCACTTTCACAAATTATCATTGAACTTTCGCAACGTCCCTACAGTATAGAGATCACTGCCCAGTTTTCACTAATAGGAACTGGGCGTAGACGAGTTGTGTGGTGAGTCCCACATCACAGCAATGGTCTTGGGTAGCAGAGGGGGATCTGAACCCATATTGTCTGATTTTCAGCCAATTATCTATCTCTCATACCATTTCAGCATTGTTTTATTTTTATTGGCTGTGATTCCCTCCTTAGAATAAATGCTAGCATTTGCCTGCTTGATATGCCCAGACATTCTGCTAGGTCTTTTACATATGTTTTCTGATTTTATCAGTGTCTCAGTATTGAAGCTAAATTCAGTTATGTATTGCATTAGAAACACAATTCTAGTTTTTAAATTTTCATTTCTATATAGGATAGTTTTTTCTCCAATGTGATCTTATAAAAATAAATGCTAAAATACTTACTTGTTTTCACACTAATATTTCTGTGTAACAGTGAACATTTTGCTGTTGTCAGTACAAAATTTTCCTGTATTATAACGCCACCACAAAAGTCTTTTCCTTTGGAATTTGTTAGTTTCACCTTAAAAAACCAAAACACAGTAAATTGCTAGTGACAATTTGCGGAATTAGGGGCAGTATAGTCTAGTGGTTAAGAATATGGGCGCTCCAAAGACAGCCAGTGAAGGACTGTGATAACAGCTTCAGATAGAATAGCCTGTGATAAACCAAAGATCTACACTGTATTATAAATCAGCCACTAAACAATGCTAGGTAATAAGCCAACAAAGAAGGTAAAATGGAATCATAAAAATACATATAAATAATCCAATAGAAGACAGAAAAAGAAAAATAGAAAAAGCAAATGGGAAAATAGAAAACCAATAGCAAAAGTATGGATATAAACCTAACTAAATAAATATAAGATGATCTAAATACCCCAATTAAAGGGCAGGAATTTGTCAGTTCGGATAAAATTGAAAGCCAACTATATAGTGCCTATAAAACATAAAATTTTTATTTTATTTTTTAAATTTTTTTTAGGTGAGGCAACCCTTGGTTGACCTCACAGATTGCAAGGACCTTATCAGTTTACAATCCCTTATTTTTTTTTACGCCTACAGTACCTGATCATCCTAGGTGGTCTCCCATCCAAGTGCTAACCAGGCCCGACCCTGCTTAGCTTCTGATATCAGATGGGATCGGGCTTGTTCAGGGTATCATGGCCATAGACTAAAACATACACTTTAAATATAAAATATAGTATAGAATATTGAGAAAAACATTGCATGCTAACACTAATCAATAACTGAAGTGTCTAATACCAGACAAGGGAGATTTTAGAGCAAAGACTATTACCAGGAATATAAAACATGTGAGGTTATTTTGAATATTAAGTGAAATAAAGTATGTACTGACATAGCACAGGTGCTGGCTCAAGAAATGTTAATTATTGCAATTTTCAGTAGCTTAATAAAATGAGAAATGCTAAGCAAAGTATAAAAGAGTTTTTTAAATTTAATGTAGCCTCATTTTTGGAAATCTTAAGTGTTTATTAATAATAGTTGCCATTTATTGACTACTTACATGAGTCAGGTACACTAGCTTGAATCCTCACTACAACTCATATTATCTTTTTATAGGTGGATAAAACCAAGTTTGAGGGAAGATAACATTTTCAGCTTTAGTCAGCTACACTTGTAAAATTCAGTGAAATGCAGTGCCAATTTCTTATCTAGAATGTAAGAAACAAGTTCTAAAAATAATTTTCAACTCTACTAGGTCAGTTAATTCCATTAAATAACTTCAGTACTGTTTATTGTACCAGAATTAAAATCTAATAGTATTGCCTTAATCAATGTGTCTCCAGGCACATTTGGTTTGTATATAGAGAATGCTCACCTCACAGGTCATAGCTCTTAGTCTCATTGGTACTAACATTAATTCTGTAGGTGAAAATGGCAACTAAGATTCCCTCAAGTGGACAGGGAAACAAGATGGTGTGTTTGGCAGAACTAGACCACCACCGTCATTCATGAGGGCTTGACTGCACACAGTTATCCATTCATCAGCTTCCTCTCACCCATATTCTGAAGCTTGCCTTAGTGCACTGATGGGCAGATGATGATAAGAATGTGAGTATGAATAATGGGCCTTAGAAAGCTTAAGGAGGAAAGGCAACACGATAAAGCAAAGTTCACCAGCTGATTACTAGACCATTTCTGGTTTTGTCCCTTCCTTTCCATCACTTTATCTCCTTTCACTCAGCTTCCTTTCAAATCTGGATTATTACTATAGTCACTGAGCTCTATTCAATCATCTGTCCATGCAGCAGCCGAGTGATTCTGCTCGGCTAAACTGGCTTGTAAGCATCAGGGTGAAATAAAAGTGTTACACACACACACAGCCCCTCATAAAAGAAACTTCTAAAGCTCTGCTGCCCAATACGGTAGTCACATGTGGTTATTGAGCATTCAAGATGTGATTGGTCCAAATCTGGATATGTTCCAAGTAAAACAACAACAACAACAAAAATCTCAGACGTCAAAGATTTAGTAATGAAGAAAAAATGCAAATATCTCAATTTTTAAATATGTGTTGAAATAATAGTGTTTAAACATTGGGGTATATAAAATACTTTATCAAAATTCATTTAATCTGATTTATTGGTGTGACTAATAGGAAATTTCATTTACATATGTGGCTTATATTCTATTGTAAAGAGTATATGTACTTAAGGCAGAAGATGATCTTCATTAGAGTCCTGAGATGAAAGGAAAATGGAAAACAGGTAAATTAAAACCCACAATGGTGCTTAAATCATAATAATAATGAAAATAATAATACTTATTTTGTAAAATTAGTAAAAAAGCAAGAAGAGAATAAATACTAGTCAAATAGCAGATGGGCCTAGCATGAGGTGCTTGAAATAATTTAGGGAGGGGGGTATAAAATACTAACTTTTTATATTGTTAGGTTAAAAATGACTTTTTAAATGTCGAGAGTAACCATTAAATAGAAATAGAATGTTTAACTTCCAAACGAATCAAAAGGCGGGAAACCGAAAAATAAAAATGAATGCCGAAGAAGAGAAATTGCCTGCACACAATAAGGGAGCAGGAGTTTCAGCCAGGTGGCTGGGGAGTGGAGCCTGTGTCCTGAACTCTGGCCTTCTGCCTTCCCTGAGGTCAACTCAAACACCCGAGTGCACCTTGAGGATGCTTATGTTCTGAGAGATATGACATTGAGAATAGTTTGAACTCCATAAGAAAGGCCCTGTGTGGCTGCAAATAAAACTACATGTTTTTATTGGGTGCAAAGAATGAAGACAGACGAAGTTGTGAATTCAGCATTGGAAAGTGCTTTCATGTGTGATGTCGAGATTAGTAAATAGTTCATCTAAACCATGACTCCTCTTAGTCATCACGTTTCTATTTGTTTGGCAAAGAAGATGGAATGACAAATAGGGTGAGATTTGTAAGAAAAAATCAAAATATGTTTATAAAATGTTTCTCTTACCTGCCATGGGAAAATGTGAAGATTCCAGTTGCTTTTTGGGGGCGTCATGATGTATTTAGAATTCAAGATTCCACATGCACACTTCTCTTCATAAGTGGTAACAACATGAGAAGAAAAATCAGTGCTTTTCAAGTCAAACATAGGGTTTTATCCATGATTCCAACTACTTGAATCTGATTCTTTCATGCACATTATTTTGAGATAGCTCATGTAGGCACAGAGCATAGTGAAATGAAATCACCTGCTCTTGGTGTTTGTGGGTTAGCTAAGATACTGCTATGATCCAGGCAAGCTTCAGTGTGGAGGCAAAGACCACGACTCCTCATCACAAATAGAAGAGATGACCTTTCAAACTATTATAGAGAAGGAGGGGGGGTGTGTGGATGGGAACTGAAGGAAGAGAGAGACCATCTTTTCTCATTTCTCATTTGATGGAGAACTCACCATGCGGAATGCACGATTTGTGATCCTGGTCCAGTTTATACCCCTTAGCACAGCTGCACATGTAGGATTCCTGTCCCGGGTGGCAAAAGTGTTGACAACCATCAGTCCTCAATGGGTGACATTCATTTTTAGCTGAAGAGGAAGCAAAGGGGCAAAACAGACGATGCTAACATGGAAATAATCGTTTTTGAATCTCCTTGTGCCTTGGGGTTCTGGTTTTTCACTTAAAATATTCTCATTCTTTTGAAATTTTTGGCTGCTCATATAAGCATTTCGTATTCAGGACTGTGCATGGAGATAGCAAAGGTTCAGTGAGTGGCAACCTTTGTCTTTGTCCTCAGAAAATGTAATTTGGTCTTGGGAGTATCTGCATACATATTGCAAAGGTATCTGTCTATTTTTCTAGCTGTATGTATGCACTTATCATATTTCACTTCCACTACAATAACTATACTCTTTAAATGGCTCTCTGAGGTGGGGTTGTGGGATGGGAGGGGTCTAGTGTGACCCCATGTGGGCGGTTGAGCAGCTGGGATGGCAGGAGGGATGTGTGGGGTACAGATTAAAACCTTGCTTTGGCATATGTTAAGTTTGGGATGTCTGCAAAACATTATGTAGGGCTCTCAAGGAGGCAGTTGGAGTAGAAAGCTGGATTTCAGAGGAGACATAGGGCTGGAAGTAATATTTTCCCCCGGAAAATTGACTGCATTGAGAGGATTAAGTGAATTTATTTACGTATCTGATCATTACTGATAGGAATTTGGTTTCTCCCTACCCCTACAAGTAAATTTTGCATTTACTTTATTTGTATTTAAGGAATATTAGTTCATGAAGCTCTAAATCTCAGCTGCAGGGAGTGTCTTGAACCCATGCCTACCTCTGAGTCAGGCTACATGTGACTCCCCCTTATAGACTGACCCTCCAGATCCCATCACCCCTGCTTGGGATCGGTCAGGTTCCAGGAATACCTGTCTAGATTGTAAATGGTTTTAGTGGGAGTGGGTTTGGGAGGAAGAAGAGGGGACTCTAAGCAATGAAAACCGTGGGAAGGAGTGTTTGTGAGACAGGAATGCTGTTCACAGAATGTGATTTCCAGTGGAGAATTTAATTAGAACTGGTTCCCATGGGTACCCTTTTGCTCACCCCCGGCAGCCCATCTCTGTGTAGTTCGAGTGGGTTGGAGCAGGTTGGGGCTGGTGGGGGCTAGTGGGGGCTCACCAAAGGCGCAGTCTCTGCCCTCATAGCCCGAGGAGCAGGTGCACGTGTAGGTGCGGATGTTGTCTTGGCACGACCCGTTGTTGAGGCAGGGCTGGGAGATACATGGAGTGCCACCTGCCGAGAAGGGTGTGAAATCCTTGTGCAGGTGGCATTATCTTGGCTCTCCTGACATCCCTTGGCCCCACTGCCCAGGACACCGGGAGGCTGAAGAAGGCTGCCAGGTGCCCCACATACGTCCCCCGGGCTCTGACCAGCCCTCATAGTCCTTCTTTCTTTGTCGAGTGGTCACCATGACTATCACTGGCTGAACAGCACTTCTCCTGTAGGGATGCCCAACATCTTTACCAAGCCTAAGGGAGCTGTCGCTTTCCTTAATTTAACCAAGTTCTGACCCTTCAGTGTGGGGCCTACGGACACCTGAGGGCCACTCAGGGTGGGGAACCCTCCAGCCTCTGCCACTCAGCCCCACAGGTGCTTCACCCTGATCCTGGAGGGACTGCAGGGACTTTCCCACCCCTGTCTTCATTCTTGCGGAGGGAGTGCCAGGCTCTTCCTTTGGGTCAGGGGTCCAGAAGTCTAAGATTTAAAATCTGGAATTCACTGGCTGTCTAGAGTCAAATGCCTTACCATCTCAAGGATAAAGAAGAGGAAATAATCCTGGACAAGGCTGAGGAAAACCACTTACCCATATACTTTTCCCAAAATCTGTCCTGTAAAATTAAAGCATAAAAACGTTGCAAGCAGGTTATTTGTTTTATTTTTTCCTCCTAAAGTTAGACTTAAACATAAGAAAATGTTAATTTTATCTACTTAATAGGAGAATACTGATTGAAACGAAGAATGTAAAATTCTTTACTTAATGTTCTATTTACTATATATGGAACATATCCTATTCAGTATGTATTTACTGTAACCTATTCAAAGAAGGAAAAATAACAGTCTATGGCATGGGACAAAAACCATGACCACGGCCTCCCAAGGCCACCTTTTGCTCCCCCAGGGTTACAGTCTTCATGTCCTTACTTTACAGAGGGCATGATGTATACATAAAAAATTTACATCACTTTTTATTTTTTTAATAAGCCAATTAAACAATGATTACAAAATTAAAATTGTGTATGTGTGTGTGGGAGGTTAGTTTGGGTAAGGGGTATCTAAAATTAGGAGAATTACTCAGAATTACAGCCTGGAAAGTAAACATGTAATTGTATCTCCCCAATCATACTTGGACGTGTAACAACCTGAATGATGTCACAAGCACAAATTAAGAATACAATTTCTCTTCACCAAGAAGTTTGAATTTCTCCTAGTTTTATTAAAAAATTGTCTATTTCAGAAGCCTTCCCTTATATATGAGCATTTAAGAATCTATGATTTAAAAAATATTTTTAAAATATATTAAAGAAACAAGTTGATATTCAAAATCAACTTTAAATATTGCTACTTTCATATGTAAAACTGGGAAATCTTTATTAAATATTTTACCATTCTAAAATATTTACACACAAATTTTGACTTGCTTCTCTATCTTCTGATAAACTTATAAGTATGAATGGTTTGCCTACATTTAGAGTATACACGTAGTCACTTTTAATTCAAATTATAGATTACTATAATCCAAATTATGAAATTTTCTTGCTATGTAGGCTCCCTAGAGAAAATTTTTGTTTCTTAAAAATTTGTTATATTGAAACAATTAGGTCTCTCTTAAAAATACTGTTTTGTCAGAGTCATGGCAAGCTGAGTGATGTTTGTGATAAGTAAATAATTGATATGCCAATTTGCTTAATTTGAAGAAAAAGTTTAGGAGTAGGGGTCCCCCACTTAATAGATGTGAATTCTGTCTCTGTTTCCACATCTATAAAGTTAAGATTAAATTAACCTCACAGGTAAGCAAACAGGTTATTCAGCTCTGTCTCTTAAGAAATTAGGCTCCCTAAGGCAGTGGAAATTTGAATAACCAGAAAGCGTATAAGTTCATGGTGGGGGAGGGGTACATACAGTGGTCACGTCATTTTCAAATACTTCTCTTGCTTCTTCATAGACACAAATTTCTTCATAGCATTCTTTTTCCAAATTTCCCTCAAAGAACTCTTCCAAAAGATAGGAGCCAGCACGCTTCCATCGTATCAGAACTTCATTTGCTTTTGAGCGGGGAAGAAATACTATGGAGCAAGATAAGAATGTAGATATTGTCAACATGGATGGACTTACCCTAAAATTCAATACCAGTTTCCTGGGGGGCAGGGTACATGGTGCTATGACTACCAGACGTCTGCCAGTGGCCTGGCTGCCACCTTTTCTGTCCCCTCCAGATCCAGCCCTCAAGGGTCTGCTCATCCTCATGTCTGCAGGGCCCACCCTCATCTGCACACATGGAGAAAGTACACTTCATCTTTGTTGAATGAATGGACACCCTGATGAATTAGGGGCAGACGCTAACATTTTATGGAGAGACGACCCGGGGCTCAGAGAGGCTGGACCATGTCAAGTCCCCACAACTGGGCTGGTGTCAGCATTAACTTGAAACAGCTCATTTGTTTCTTCTTTCGCTTAGGCTGTATTTGGCACCTAGGGTGTAGCAGGCTTGATATTACAAAAATGGAAATCTCAGACTCCACCCCTACATTTTAGGATTTTGTCCTGGACAAACAGATGGACAACTATCATAATATCACACATTAAAAGGTTTAATAGACTTAAAACAAAGGGATAAATTCTGCCCAGAGCAAGGAGGAACGAAAACTGCTGCCTTTTGACATGGGCATTGAGAATTGAATTGACTTTTGATGGGAATCACTCCTGGAGAGGAAGGAATATTATGACAAAGGCAAGGAGTGTAAAGTCAGTGTGGCTAATGCATTGTAACAAGTAGACTCAATGCATAACCACTCAGACACAGAATTTTGCTTCCTGCTGGGTGTACGTCACGCGACAACGACATTTGAGTCCTAGGCTTCTTCTCTGTGGCTGCTCACATGTGGCTCCATGTGCAGCCAGCCTGCAGGTGGAGAAAGTCTCGGAGATGTGCCCGAAAGTGGCACGTAGGATCCCTATTCACATTCCGTGGGTGATGGCAACGTGGTTATGAGGGGGCTTGGAGATG